ATACCAAGATAATATTTATGGAATACTAGGGCAACACTGAAGGTATTCCCCTAGTATTTCCCTTTCTTTACTAGGAAATACTCGGGGCATACCAAGAGAATACTAAAGGAAGACTAGGGCAATACTAGGGAAATACTCAAGGAAGACTGGGGGAATACTAAAGGAGCATACTAGGAGAATGCTGACAAAATACGAGGCTCAATTTGTCTGGACAAGTCACCAGGGCAATACAAGAAAACTACTCAGAAAATACGAAAGCGTCGCATGCGTTCTTGAGGTCATCAAAGGTCATATCCTCAGGCTCCTTGGCCATGCTAGGACAGGGTCAGAACAAAGGGCAGAAGAGGAGTAAAGAAGCGCTGGAGCCAGACAGCTTCAAATATGGGCTCGGTTCTGCTCAGATGCCAAGGAAAACTGAAAAAACTGAAAATACGGAAAAAACTGAAAAAAACTGAAAAAGCAAGGATTCTGAGGGACATGGCTGGGGGGGGGTCATGTCCCTCAGAATCCTTAGTTTTTCAGTTTTTTCAGCTTTTTTTCAGTCTTTTTCCGTATTTTCACTTTTTTTCTAGTTTTTTCAGTTGTTTTTTTTCAGTTTTTTGCAGTTTGTTCAGTTTTGCAGAGAGTTTCTTGGCCAGAAAGCTTGTTTGAAAACTGAAAAAACAGCCTGACAACTGAGGGTTCTGGCAGATTCAGGTTTTTTGTCAGAAAACACAGTAAATACCAGTGTTTTCAGACCAAACCTAGGTTTTGGGGGGGGGGTACTAGATATATGCACTGGCGTAAGTCGATTTGCCAACCGCTGCAAAAAGCTCAATATCCCACGTTTTGAGATTGCCTGTTGGGCTTTGAGAGCAAATTGCAGACCTAGCTCCTTGGCCCTGGCAACTTGTTGCAAGGTTTGCCTGATTTGGGATAACAAGCGGACGGGGGGAAACAAACGAAGCGAACAACACGGATTCCAATGGCTGGTGTCCATGGTTCTTGTCGTTGTTGGAACTTGGATTTGGGGAAGCTATGCGCTGTGTGGAATGCTTGCTTACTTACCCTTGTCGCATGCGGAATGCTCGAAACCTAGGCCGTTGGCCAGGCAGCCGCTAAGCCAGTTCCCAATTCTTCAGCCAAAGCGCGCGGAAGCGGGGCGACGCAGCACGCCCGTTTTTTTTTGGTTGCAACGGGCACTTTGCCGATCAACGGGACGGATTTCGGCGGAGAGTGCCAAAAAAGTTCCAATTTTTGGGTTGCAACGAGCACTTTGCCGAGAAAGGGACGGATTTCGGCGGAGAGTCCCAAAAAAGTTCCCATTTTTGGGTTGCAACGAGCACTTTGCCGAGAAAGGGACGGATTTCGGCGGAGGAAGGTCCCCAAAAAGTTCCCACGGAAGGTCCGGGAATCCCCCTCCATCCCTCCCTCCGAAGCTGAGGCTCTCGGCATCGCCGCCCGGAAGATCCAGGTCTCTGTGCTGCAAATGAGTGTCCTCGCATCGAGTGCCCCATTTCCGAGTCGGTTCGTCACCCTTGGGGCTTGTCGATGTGTATGAGCAAACATGGCCATGTGTTACAAAGAGATGTTAAAACTAAAAAAACTGTTGAATTGCCCTGGAGACATGGGGCACCAATACCCACTTCTTGGGAAAGTGTTGAGGTTTATGGCCTATGTGGCACCCGAAAAATCCCCGGCGACCCAATCAAAAGAATCCATCCCCCCTACCATGAAGGGGGAGGGGGGTGGGGGGGTCCCCAACTCCATCGTAAACGGAGGGGTCACCCTCCTCCCCCAATTCCATTTTTAACGGGCTGGGGATAAGAATCCTCAGTCAGACCGATGCAGCTGAGGCATGGGCAGAGATGAAAACCAGGCCTCGGCCACTTCGCCCGGTGTGGTCGCTAGGATTTGGTCCAAGGCGACATGGCGTCGGTGTGTTTTGTCTTTGGCTTTCCCGCAAAAAAACTTGGTTGCTGTTGACCCCCGTGCAAAAAGTGAATCACTTTTTGGGGGTTTAGTGGAAAACCCAACTTGATTTCAACCAAAAAGTTAAAGTCTAAACGTCCGTTGCCCAATAGCAGTCAACAAAACCAACAAAGAAGATGTGCCCTCACAAAAACACAGCCAGATACCAGGGGCACCAAAAGGGAATTGTTGGACTTTTTCCAGACCCCCGATTTATTAGCTTCCCTCTTGGTGATGTGGATTTGTAGCGTCAGAAGGGTACCTTCCTGAACCCCGCAAACCGATCCAAACCAACCAAATGGAGGTTTCCTGATCACAAATTGGGGGCCTTGCAAATACCAAGGGTAAGATATCAATTGGTAGTGAGCCAATGTTGATCCCACATAAATCAACCCGGCTTCGCGGGGAGTCAGACCACTTTTGGAGGGGCCCCCTACCTCAACATGGGGTCGACACTACTTCGCACTCAGCTCAAGGTAGGGATTTGGAAAGCTTGCCCACTAAAATAGACTAAAATGGGTGGTGCGCCTGCCCCAACATATTACCATCGGTTTTGACCCACAGCCATTTCTGATTCACTGATGCTGTTTCCGATTTGCGTAGTCTAACAAACCCAAAGCCAGCGAGTATTGGAAGACCCCATTCTTCCAAAAGCAACCGTTCGAAAACGGGAAACGGAGCTGATGAAATATGGCCTCTTGGATGGTGCAAAAAAGCCGCCTTCTAACGACACCAGCCAGAGCCTCATCATGCCTTATCAAAACATGTCAAAACTCGAAATTTGCAAAACAAGATTGGAAAACGCAACACCTTGGTTGCTGCTGAACCCTCTGCGAAGAGTAACTTTTTGTGGGTTTATAGTGGAAAACCCCTTGACTTCACAAAAAGTTCAAGTGTGAAGATCCAACCCAATAGCATTCAAGACACCTTCGGCTTGTTATTTGACACCCCCCAAAAAAACCCACCCCCCTTTTTAGACAGGGAAGCCAGTTGACTCGGGACTTCTCGTGTTTTGTCTCAGGCCGCTGCGGACAAATCCGGGCCTTTTGGGCGGTGCGGCTGCCAGCCTAAGCCCCCAACGCCCCCAGCGGTTTCGGAGATGCAGTGGATTGGCCAAAGCAAGTCCACCCGTCCTGTTTACAATTAAGATTTGGTACCAACCCGACCAGTTCTTGAGTCCAGGAACTATATACACCCTTTCCTTTTACCATTCAAACTTGGTCCAAACCTGAAAAGTGACTAAAGTCCGAAAGGGAACTCAGGGAGTGGGGGAAGACCTTCGGATAAAAATGGGAGAGAGAGGATGCGAAGGAAGTCCCGCTTGGCTGGTCTGGGAGCTTGTCAAATTGCTAGAAATTTTCAGTGAACTCCTGGTTTAATGCCGTTTTGTGATGCCTTGCTCGGGATAGTGCATGAACCCAAACCATCCAAGTTTTAGAACTTCTGGGAGGGTACGGCCCCAAGGTCTCGCAGAGTCTCTCAGGGCAAAGGAAACTCAAAGACATATGTATAAAATAGATGGGCCTCCCTGGTACATGAATTGAATCCAATCTAAACCAGTGGAACCCATCGATTTCTAACCATTTGCTTAAGCCCCCTGGAAAAATGAAGATACCTTTATAATTCTCAGGGCGAAGTTAAACATTTTTCTCAAGCAAATGGAAGTAGCCAAGCAAGGCGCGGAGAGCGCCTAAGCAGCCCATGGTCCCCTGAGCCCTCCCCAGGCGCGAAGCAGATCTGTTTCACCATGGTGTGTCTTTTCTGACCCCCGTTTTCAAAAGAAAGCATGGCTGGTGTCCTTTTGCTTTCCCTTGAAAGGCCAAGCAAAAGGAAAACGGGAAAAAGCCCCTGAACAAAAAGAGGCGCCCACCAGGTGAGAAGTTCCGCCATCGAGCGCGATCACTTGATCACTGGCAGCCGCCGACGCTGGACTGGCCGCGGCCGACTGCTGGCTGCGGGTCGCGTCTTTCGCAGGTCGAAGACCAGGACCGTCCTGGCAGGTGCTTTCGCCATGGTCTCACTTCCGACCGAGTGGACGGGCCACAAAACGTCCTGGAACTGTTGGTTTAAAACGAAAATGGTCCAAACGCCCAAAAAGTGACTAAAGTCCGAAACGAAACTCAGGAAGTGAGCCACAGGCTGGCCTGGGTGCTATGTAATGGCGACTCTGGCTTGCTCTTGGACAACTTACCATGATGGGCAATTTGGCACTCGCGTACGACCAGGTGAACTGCCTACTTCGGTCACCACACCTTCCCCAAATCACAAGCAATGGCAACTTCTACTGAGTCCTGAGACCATTTGGTGGGTTCCTTCTGTGGTTTTAAAGGGAAACCTCAGGACCACCCAGAAATCGGGGTACCAAAACAAACATACCCCAACGGAAACCAACATGAGAACACCATGTTGGTTCCGGTGGATCGATTGCAAGCAGATCACTTTGACTTCCAGCCTGAAGCCTTTCGGAGGAAACTGGGCTTACTGTCGACCGCTCAAATCGTCTCCTCGCTATCATCTCACAGTGAAGGGATCGAGGATAAGTTGTTTTTTGGGGCCGGAACTTTCCTATGGAAGTTGATCCTACCCACATCGCGTACATCAAACTTGCTGACTGTGGCCATTCTTTCGTGAGGCCCCTTCTTCCCCTGAAAGGGGCATAAGCTCACTTCCCTCATTTGAGTGGGGTGGCCCAAAGCAGTCCAAACTTACCTGCTAGCTTGCCGCTCAAATGTGCGCAAACCCAAACGGTGACTCAAGTCCGCAACAGAACTCTTCTGGCCAAACTGTTTGCCAGGCCGCGGGAACTGGTACCCTTGGCATCCCCTGGTCCCTGGTTTCGTCCAAAACCCAAAGCCCTGCAAACAACCAACCTGTTCAAAATGAAAGGCAAACGTGAGAAAACCTGCACATCCATTTACATCTCAAGAGCGGAATGAAAGTATTCTGCCCCAATTGGAACCCTTGTCACTGCGAGCGGCTCGGGTTGCTCTCTTGTATGTCCGACCATTCGGTCCGGGTAGCTGCTTCAATCAGGATCTTCATGCCAGAAATCAGGGCGGGGGTGTCTGCATCAGCGCGAGCTCATCCTGCAATACCTTGCTGTCGCCGGTGTGTTTGTTTTGTTGTTTGTGTTGTGTTAATGGGTTGGGGGGGGTCCGTATACCTCCTTGTCAATAGTCTGGTTGCCGAGTCGTTTTCGCGTCTTCAACTGCGTATGTTAAAGGGGAGAAGTGCCACAAATCGGATGTCGCCCGTCCGACCGACAAACATGGAAGTGCCAAGCCCCCCGGTGGAAGTTTCCTTCAAGTTTCGAAGGGGGGTGCCCTTCCAGATTGGTCGGAGGATATATCAGGTGACCCTTGGTGAGTTGGTGGTTTGGATCGGTGGCTTGGGGATCTGAACCCCTGGTTGCTGTACAGGTTAGTTTGGAAACCATCAGTAAACACCAAACCATCAATCCAAGCCACCAATTTCGAGGGAAGCTGAATATACACTTTCTGCTGGATCCAAAGTGACATGCTCAAAAGCACGTGGTTTTCAGGGAAACCGTCAGAAGAACCACGCAACATGGGACCCCGGCGGCTTGGAGGCTTGGAGGTTGGGCGCCCTGATTTGGCTCTGGCTCAAAAAACCGGTACCCAAAATGGGTTGCCCTGGTAAGTGGAAACATGGACCAAAACCTGCGTAACCCCTCCTGTTTAATTTTGAGCCACACCCATTTCTGGAAAAACACGCTGAATATCAAGCAAGCCACAGATGACGGCTTGGGTTGGCTAGGGAGGTATGAACCCCACGGCTCTTCTGGCTGTGGCAAGAGGAAGCTAGAGCCTCATCTCCTCAACTCAGTGAGGACAACGCAAAAGGTCGAGTTGCTTTGGTTGCAAGTGACTTTATAACCAGAAGCTGTAGAGCACGGGACCCAGGAGACCAAAGACTTTGGCAAGAGGGGCCCAAAGATTGAAAGGCGCATGGATTACTTGGAAATCCCGGCCGAGTTGCTTGCTTCCACTGTGCATCCTCCACTCTCTCCAAGTACCTAAGCAAAAAGTCACGACACATGAAGCACCCCGAAGCGTATGGGTTTCCCCGTTCGGCAAAACCCAACAAGTGGCATCCGTATTCGATCCGGACAATTGCCGCTATTGTCCCCTAAAATAAGGGGGTTTGGTACAACTGCTGTATATATATACATATACATATACATATTAGTATACATATACATAAATATATGTCTGGACCCCACGCCCAATATCAAGGTTGTGTGCACTGTGGGCAAATAACAGACTCTTTGTTGCTTCCGCTTTTGCGTATATCAGAATACACCCTATACCTTCTGCGGCTCGTTTAGATATATATATATATACTCATGTTTGCAGTATGAATAGTGTGCACGGAAAGGCGCTCCTACCCCAGGAGCAATATGGCATGATAGTCCTCCTCGCAGCTGCGTTTGGTGTGGATCTCAGCTTCCGACTCCGAAACCAAGCATAGAAAGAGTTAACAAGTTTTCAGCTGCCGCCGTAGTTGTGGCTGTGGTGATTAGGGGTACCCGCCTCCGACCATGGCTGAACATCCAAGTGGGTGTCTTTTTTGGGGGCCCCCCAAAATGGTGGGTTTCTGTTTGGATTCCCTAAAGAACCACAGAAAAAGGGAACTCCCCCCCCCCCCAACCCCAAAAAACACAAGTATGGTTGGTTTCTGTTTGGTTTCCCTATAGAACCACAGACAAGGGAAACAAACACCAGTGACGCCCAAGTAGCTTCCTCAAGCGAGAGACCACCGTCTTTGTTTCTTTTCGACGAGGCGCTCCTCCAGCAGCTGCAGGTAGGCCAAGACCTCCGCATCCTGAAAGAAAAAACGCGGCGCGTTGCCATATCCTTCACTCGGTTGCTTTCTGCTCCCCTGCTAAAAGCTTAACTTTTAGTGGTTTAATGGAAAACCCATTAGTTGGCAAAAAGTTAAAGTCCTATCATCCAAGCAAATGCACAGAAGATCCTTCACAAGTGTTGGTTTAGTAGCTTGGTTGCTGCAACGACCCCACTGCAAACTTTTCTTTTTGGGGGGGGGTTTGTGGAAAACGCCTTGATATATGACTGTGGCTCAAAATTAAACAGACGGGGCAAACCGCAGGTTTTGGTCCATGTTTCCACTTCCGGATTTTTGAGCCAAAGTCATATCCTTCACAACTGTTGGTATGGCAGCAAAAATAAAATTGCCAAAGCATGAACAGAACCCAACACACAAGAGAAACACTGGCAAAAAACAGTGCACAACTGTTGGTATAGTTGCAAACAACTGCTTTTTGCAGCCCCCGACACCTAAACATGAACAGACCCCCCCACAAAACAAAAACAAAAACACTGGCCAAGAACTGTGGAGTATCTCCACCTTTGATCGGGACAAATACAGGGTTGAGCCCCCCTCCATAAACCTCTCAAATTTTAAGCAACATGCTCAAAACCAGGACGCTATTGTCAGGTGACCCCGGGTAAGCCCCTTCTCTTGTGGGGCGTTCCTCTCCAAAAGTGGTCTGATTCCCCACCAAACCCAGGAACATCCCCAAAAAATAAACTGGGGTTTATTAATCCCGGGCTCTCATAACGGGGTTGGGCAGCCGCCTTTTTTTGGGTATGTGTGGCTATAAGAAGAATATGCACAGGCATGTATGGACACGCTTCACTTGATCCAAAATAGGCTCGAAAAATGTTGAACTCGTAGAACAGGTCCCCTGATTCACTTCATGTCAAGCACACATAAAATAAGCCCTACGAATCCGGGGTTCCCGCTCCCCTCTTTTTGGGAACTACCCCATGTTGGGGAAGTGGCGAAAAACACGTAGCGGCTATGCTACCATGTCCTTACACAACTCCCGGTAGCTCCCCCAAACATTGTGGTTTTCCGTTGGTTTCCCTTTAAAGCTGGATGATGTCAACCCCGGATTCATCAACCCCTTGTTTCTTAGTATGGGGGATGTCCCCTGGTTGTAGTGGGGGTCAAAGCACTTTTGGAGGGAACACCCTCACCTTCATGGGGTTGCTTGACTCGGCTGTCCTCAGACCCCTGGTAAAAGTGAATCACTTGTGGGTGAAATGAGGAAACCACCACAAAACCACCATAGCTGGAAATCGTGAGTCCCTGGTTTCAGTGGGGGTTCAGCCCACTTCTGGAGGGGTCTTTCCTACTGTGGATGGACGGAATCCTATCCCACTTTGAAACCATGGGAAACCATGATTTGTTCGCATTTGCAAAATAATCATCATTCCAGGGTTTCTTAAGTGGTGCCTAAGAGGATTTTGTTCATCCACAGTGAAAGAAAAATACCAAGGGTTCATTCATCTCGCGAACACATGAGTATGGGTCAGAATTAAACCCACACAAAACCGCGGGTTTGAGTGGATGTGTCTATTTACCAGGGCTGCATTTTGGGTACCTATTTTTGACCCACAGCCACATTACCCCCATGGCTCCCTTTTGAGGGTTCTTGTATTACACCCTGGGATTGCACCCTTGGGAAATGACCCAAAATGGTTCCGGAAATCTGCCACGGTTCTTTATCCGGAAAAATGTGCCAAATCAAATGGGGGTCAATAATGTTGACCCAGGATTAATAAACCCGTCCCATTATTAGGGGGGTGTTCCCTCCAAAAGTGGTTCGAATCCAACCACTAAAAGGGTAATACAAAAACCCCATCCCTTACCCTCCCCGTGTCTCCTCCTTCTGGTGGCACTTGGCCAGCACCCGCGGCCGTAGAAGCGGCGGCAGCTTCTCGCCCAGACATCCGAGACGTCTCGGCGAAGGCATCGGGGCCTCGAGAAACATGTGGCTTTGTGCAGGGATCACATTGTACACCTGAACATTGCAACTTGTAAATGGTGGTGTCCCTTTCTTTATTTTGGTGTTGAAAAAGCAACATGTTGCACATGGTTGCAAAATGGAGATCTTTTAAGGAGCCCGTGTTGTGTTGTGCTCTTGCCTGTGATACCTACCCAAGACGCTGGATAGACCTGCTATGAGTCACTATGCAGGTCCTTATGGTCCCCTCCCTGAACCTCTGTTGCTTCTCTGTTTGCCTTTTCAAGCAAGTAGAGGGAAGCCAGCTTGACTTGATGAAACTCGACGTCGCATTTACATTCTTGACACTCGATGCCTTGACTCGACATTGGTGTTCTTCCTTTCTCGGGAGTCTTACTTTGTGTGTGTGTGTGTCTTGCTTGTTTGAGAATATAGGGTTTAGAGGAAAACCAACAAGTGAAAAAACAACGCACGCGCGCACACACACACACATTTTGGTCTCTATTTTGACATCTAGCCCCCCCCCACGTGGAAGTTCTACTGAAATCAGTGGCCCCCTTTGGTCTGAAAGCAAGCCTTGGTCCAGCACACATCCAGTATTTCGTCAAATTCGCATGTGCCCCCAGCGCCTGCAAAACATCAACGGGTTGTTAGCCTCTGTGAAACCATGGCTACAGCTGGAAGAGTGAAACACTACATAGCATAACTGCCAAAAGACTGGGCCAAGAAAAAGGGGGAAGCAACGCTGGCAAGATAGACCGGAGTGACATCAACCGTACTCTCCAGGTAATCAAATTGGGACATCTGCACTTGGGAACCCTTTTAAAAGCTCCGATGGCCCTATAGAAAGGAGCCATGACCGAGCGTAGCTCGTTTCAAACTGGAAGGGAAAAGCAAAGCGCCCCATCGGCTGGTCAAAGCAAACTGTCCAAGTTGCTTGGGGCCCTGTTTGGAGGTTTAGTTGGTTCCCTCCCAAACCAGAAGTTTTGCTAGTGGTCTCAAGCAGTTGTTTGAAGAACCTGCTGTCTGTGAAAACCTGTGTGACAGCTTGTGGGTGTTGCCAACAATAGGGCAATCTGAACATGGTTGCCTTCCAGATAAAGTCCCAAACATGAAGGCTCTCTCACGCAGCCCAATTCCTGATAGCTGGCAAGATTCAGAAACCTGATTTCCTTTTTTGGTGAAACGACTTCACAAAATTTCACAAGCTTCTGCCTTGGGCAAGCCCTTCCTGCACAAGCCTCTGCTGCCAAAGAAAGTGGCTCAGGTAGCCGCTATTCCCACGTCTATACAAGAACCACATCAAAGCCCAGCCAGGCACAAGGAAGGCCACAATCGCGACTACAATGACCGTCTCATCGTAACGCGCGAGGAAAACATTGCCAGCCATATACGCGCCCATACCAAACACAAGCACTGGCATGATGCTAAATATCATGATCGAGTTGGTCAAGATCTCGCCGCATCTGGACCTAGATTCATGACGAAGGTGGTAGGCCAAAAACTTCATCCACGAGACACATGCAGGACAGATCAAAAACAGAGTAATCACAAGATAAAAGCACACACTCATCAAGCGCCCATCCACATGAGGCGGTCTCAGAGCGAGCTGCATAAAGTCGAATATACCCCACATTGCCGGACATATAATAGCACCACTCCAAGCATAACTGAACACATCATGCTCAAGCTGCGCTGTAATCGCATCCACGACAGTTGTACGAATGTACTCTACAAAGCTATCTGTGCTGCCAAACCATATCCCAATGCATTCGGAAATGACCCGCTTGTCACAGATTTGGGCTCGAGCGCATTTGCCCGTGCTGCAGCAGCTGCATTTTAGCTGAGCTATTTGCAAGGACAACAGCTGCCTTTGCATGACTTCTATGGAACGATAAAAGCCGCGCATGACGTGGCAAGTTGCATAAGCACCGGCATTAATGATCGTTGTGAAGCCTACAACGTACCACATATACGGCCATGCTGTTTGTGGACGGTGATCAAGTGGAAAGGCAACAAGCAGTGGAATGAATCCCATTGTGGACACTGCATAAACAGCAAACGAGATTGGCCCTGTCAGGGTCGGGCAAATAAGTAGACGCCTTTCTCGCTTCTCCTTGCTTTTAAGGAATGCCGCGATCTCGAACACACACCACAACCTTTCGGCAAAGGAAGCATCCCAAAGCACCAGCATGGATTCTGACTTATCCAAAATCCCAGCAAGGCTGCAAATAGCCTGTGTCTTTAAATCTCGCGTTTCGCTGATACAGATCCTGTCCAGGAAGACTGATGTTGTACAACGCCAGCATGCCATGGTCAAAATGGTGCCAGCGCCACCAAGCACTGAGGACCAAACGGAAGATCTTTCAATATGATGTTCTTCCGAAAAATTCACATGAAAGTGGCAACCTGGCAAGATGTCAAGATGAAAAAGCAGCATGCCAATCAAGGCGCAGGCGTTGCCGACACAAAGCGCTGCGAAGCCATTCTTCAGCACCAAGAGCGTCAAGCATTTTGCCCAGGCATGCGCGCACCAAGAATGGCTCCAGAATTCCTGGATTTTGGGCACCTCCCGGCTCTTGGCAAAAAAGTCTCTCCCTTCACTGCCTCTCAGCGCCTCCGCGCACGACTCGAAGGCATGGTAGGCAGCGGTGGCCCGCAGAACTTCAGGCCGTGAAATCTTCATCATTGCCATAAAGTCAGCCAAACCACGGATTCTCCTGAGCTCCCTATCACTGGGTGTGCCATGTGTCTCCGTGTGCAAATCAATGGCAGCCGGACAAGCACTGGTCGTCGAGCATCTTCTGCCCACAACCAGCGACCCAACGCTATCTTGGTCTAGATCCGTCATTATCCTGACAAGCAGGAAGCTGCGGCAGACCAAGTCAAGGCCAAGCAACACACAGGAAAACTTGAGCAGACTGCTGCTGCAACAGGGGTCCTTACGTTATACACCTGAACATTGCCTTGTAAATGGTGGTTGGTGGAAAAAGCCATGTTTCAAATGGGCAAAATGTATCTTTTGAGGAGCCCTGTGCAAAGAGACTTTAATTCCACACTTGGGGTGTTTAATTGCAGTGTCACTCTTGGAAAGTGTGGGAAATGCCCTCAGCAAAGAACTTATTTACTGCATGGAGATGTTCTTTAAAGATAAGGGTAAAAGTGCGAGAAACGCGATGAGCCGCCATTCCAGCGTGACGGTTCGTGCTTCCCTAGCACTTCCTAGAGCTCCTTAGCCAACCCTCTTACATCCCTTAGGAACCTCATTGAGTTGGTGCCCGTTGGATGGATTCAAAGGGAAGCCAAAAGGAAAAAATCGACAAAATTCAGAGGGATCTTTCTGGGTTGTTCCTTGTTGCTTTGGTGATTGCAAACAGGCCGTGGACAAATCCTGGATAGATAGTTCTTCCCAATATTGGATGGATTTGGCTATGGTGCGGGATTCCATGCATGGTATGGGTTTGTATCTATCTTTGTTTGCTTCTCTTGCAGTTGAGGGAACCTCCAAAACAAGTGGGTGGCTTAAAAGGTTCGGCTCGCAGTTTGGCGTGAAGCCAAGGGGGTAACCGCTTCTAACAGAAAACAACAGGCCCCCCTTCCCAGTTGTTTTTGCGGCAATGACCATCATCATTGCGCAACCCAAACAAAAAGGCTTAAAACCACATTTGGGTGCGTTTCCTTCTTGAGGAGCCCTTTTGTTGTGGCTTTACACACTTGGTCTCACTTCCGATCTTGTGCATTGGCCGAGAAAAACCGATGAAAACACATGTGGGTGTGTCTTCTCTGTGAATGTTTCCCTTGTAAAAACCAAAGTTTTAAAACTAAAAGCCCTGCTTTGGGCCCCACTCAAAGACTGCGAAGCACTTGATCTTGGATCCAACATGTTTTCATGTTCGCCTGAAGGGGGAGGGCGGTGGGGGGTCCCCAATTCCATTGGTCCGTTTTCCCCATAACAAAGAACATATGAGAAAATGGGTTGCCGCAAATGGAATTCCACACATTCACCCCCTGCCCCAATTCCATTATGATTCCCTTTCAAACCAGGGGGAAAGATAAGGCTGTGGGTCAAAAATAGGTACCCAAAATTGAATTTTGGTAAATGGAAACATGGACTAAAACTTGCGGTCCATATCCTGGTGGTTTAGTTTTGAGCCGCACCCATGTGTTTCGCCAAGTCACTCAAGTGAGGTATCAACCGAGGTCAAGGAGATGTTCAAGGCTCAGAATAAATCCTTTGAAAGACCCTACGGTGCGATTCTCCGGATGGCTGAGGGTAGGCTCCCCGAAGGAATCTGAATAACCATAAAATATTCATTTCAGCAAACGGAAGTGTGGAGACTTGTTGGACCTGGCGCCCACAAATGGGCGCGACATGGCGCGACTCCCTCGCCCGCCCACCCCCCCCCCCCGCTTTATCGGGGATCAGGCCTCTGGTGGGTTGCTTTCAAGTCCGCTGAACTCAGTATCTAGGTCCTCCAGTAGTTTGAGGTTAGAATAAGTTGGAACCCAACTGTTTTTCTGTGGCCGATTTTTTCGTAGGGTAACCCTCCCCCAATAAAACGGCAAAAGGGCACTTGGCTGGGGGACCTCGGTAAGTGAGGAAATGCACCAGCGAATGCAAGCATCAAGCATGAAGCATTCTCAGCATGTCTAACCCTCAAAATTCCTGGGTGTCCTTTCCTCTTCCTTCTAAACCCCAAAACGAAGTACCCCACCCGTTTTGTTGAGTCCTTGCCTTTCAGAATCCCAGTAAGATCCCCCAACCTAGCAACGTAAGGGGCCACCTAGAAAAGGGGCCCACAAGGAAAGTGGACGAATTCCAAAAGGTTTCCAGGCTCAGGCCTCTTTTCGAGGTCGAAGCAAGATTCATTCAAAAAGAAGAAGAAATACAAAAAAAACACATCACCTGTCTCACTAGGAATGAACCCACTCTTGGTTGCCGCAACGACCCCCCCTGCAAAAAGTGAACAACTTGTTGGGAGTTTAGTGGAAAACCCAACTTTCAACCAAAAAGCGAAAGTCTAAAGATGCGTTGCCCAATTCAGGGAAACCGCCAGTTGGATGGTCTTTGTTGGGGTCATTCGGGTATGGGTCAAAACTAAACCACTAGGGGACCGCAGGTTTTAGTCCTTGGTTCCATTTACCAGGGCCCCATTTTGGGTACCTATTTTTGACCCACAGCCATTCCCATTCTCATTCCAAAACGGTGATTTCTTTCGACTCCATGACTCAGTTGTTCAGTGATCCCGGAAAAAAAGGAACCCTTTTTGGGGAAGACACTGAACAACTGAGATGACTGACAAATGGCTGTGGCTCAAAGAAGTGGTGCCAAAATAGCACCTTGGTACATGCAAAGCCTAAAACCTACGTAAACCTAGCTCTTTAATTTTGAGCCATACCCAAATGGAAAATGATGGAAAACCCAGAGGTCAAAAGGTCGATTCGCTTTGAGCAACTGGGTAAAAGGTTCAACATTTCGGCTCTATGCTCAGATGCTCAGTGGATTGGCATGGGAAAAAAAGGGCGCCATTTTTTGTTGGTTGAGTTGTCGCAACAGAGTATGACTAAAACTGAGAACCCAAACCAAAGATTGCAATTTGGGCCCTTTGAGCTCGAATTACCCACGCCTCGGGCTCTGCATCTGCCACCAGGGTTAGACACGCACCGCCTGGCGTCGGTGGGGTCCATTCTGCTCGGCGAAGAGGTGCCCCTAATTCACAGAGAAAGGACGCCTAGACTGGGTCCTCCAGTAGAGAGGTCCCTGACATACTGTGGATGGACGAAATCCTGCACCATCTATGAAACCCTGGATTGGTGATTCGCCTGTGAATGCCAATGAGCGTTATGGTTTCAACCGTGGTTTCTTTGGTTAGAACAAGTTGGTACGAACTTTTTTCTGTGGTCCATTTTAGTAGGGGAACCCTCCCCCTAAAAAAAGGAAAAGGGCACTACTGGGGGACCTTGTAAAGTTACAGGGTCCATTGCACCCACCTGTAAAAAAACGGCTGCCCCAAAACTTCACGCGTGGTTTCAGTCGTTCCCCTTGTTAAAGCGTAGCCAGGGTCCAGGTACCGCTTGAAGTTTACCATTCATTGTACATGACCCAAGTCCTAAGCCACTCAAGAGGTGAAATCCACAAGCCCCCATACGAAAGCTTCATTCGCTTGCTCGCAACCTTCCTCTCAGACCGATCCTACGACAAGTAGTTCACCCTTCCTCCCGACATGGCACCTGACGGGTCCATACAACAGGAAATCTCTCTTCCAGGGACCCTGTGTGCGTTTCAGCCCTCCATGGATAACTCACAAAAGTCAAAGGCAGAAGCACGCGCTCTGCAGAAACCTGGGCAAACCATGTGGCCTACACGCGGCAAGCAAGTGCAGTAAAAAGATATCACTCCTTTCATGAAGCTAGGCAACATCAGTGAATGAAACCTTGCAAAACTGTAAGCTTGCGCATCCCTTGGGCCGCACTTCCGCGCGCACAAACAGTTGCTTCTCCCTGTTCGGCGACAATTAAAACCGAAGACTTGGGTTTTAGGACGGCCCTCATGTGAGATGAGCCCATGCCGAAGGATTGCTCAAGTGGCAAAGAAAACTTCTCGGCTCCCGTCTGGAAAAAGACACAAACATAGGCTCTCGATGGAAAAACACATATTATATCCTCTGGGTTCCTTCGGTAGCTCAAGTTTTGCTTAGCCCTCATTCTATAAACCCTCACGAAAGGGTCCTTGCACTGGGCGGCCCCAATCTGTTCTGAATGCAGCGCTCGATGGCAAAACGTTGATGTGCATTGACTTTGGACCAGGCCACCGCTACCTCAGTTTTCCCACAGGATCACCTTTGGGGGCCATGACCAGCGGATCAAAATAACCACAAAATAGGGAACAAAGGGGTCGAAAAGGCATTCAAATGAACCAATCGCTTGGCTTCGGCTTGTTTTGGAGGTCTGCTTGGCCTCTCTCGGAGGTCAGGCGTTCCTCCACCAAAAGCCAGCCGTGGTCGTTCAGCCAGCTGCGCAAATCCATCATCGCCTGCGCGGTGCAACTTGGCCGCCCCAGCCCCCTGAAAACCGCATGACTGCCTCCGAAAAGTCCTGGAAAGGCTCCGGGGAGAACCCAAAGCTCGAACCCAGAGGCTCCCGGTGTATTTAGGGCTTGAGGCCCCCAAAGACGTTCCTGCAGTGACGAAGCGCTACAAAGAACACAATTGTCAGACGACCTAGGGATTGGAATGGCACGTGGTTTTTTGGAGGCCGGAAAAAGACTCTGTTGCCAAAGTACATTTGCAGTTCTCAATTTTATCCCTAAGGGCACACGCAACGGATTTTTACAGCACCTGGTGCAACATCCTGTAGAGCCCAAAAGTGGGACACCCCCTAGGAATCAACCAGGGGACTTCTTGGGTTCGCTTGCGAAATCTGCAACCCTGCTAAAAGTGAATAACTTTTAGGGGTTGAATTCGGAAAACCCATTAGTCCCTGCTAAAAGTGAATAACTTTTAGGGGTTGAATGGAAAACCCATTAGTTGGCAAAAAGTTCAAGTCCTAATCTCCAAGCAAATTTCTCACCAATGGTTCCCAGTAACAAATGGCTGCTTAAACGAACCCAAAGGGACACCCCATTTAGAAGCTAGCTTCACAGGCCTGGTGTCCAAGAAGAGGACCTAACTTCTAAAGGTATAGCTCCCGAAGAGTCAAGATCAAAGAAGCATGCGGCTCGTCCATGAGCTGGCTTTTCCCCCTCGTTTAAGATCAGTTTAAAGAGCAAACTAAGAGGAAAACCGCAACTTCTATTCTGTGTTTCCTTTCTTTTCTTGGGGGGGGGCATATTCGAAGACACCCCCAACTTTTTAGGGGGGGCCTATATTTATTGAGACACCCCCACGCGTCTCACTTCGCGTCGTGGCCACGCGTCTCGCCTGCGGAGGCTGCGGGCAGCTGGGCTGCAGCACGAGGCGGCGCAAAGAGTTGGGCGCCGAGGGCAGGAGCTGCAGCACCAGTCCTTCGGGACGAGACAATTTCGAGCCTATCGCACCAGCAGGTACAAATGGAAGGGGAGGAGGGGGGCATCTCATTCCCTGTCTCCTAGAGGTGGTTCTGTTTCTCATTCCCAGCCTATCGCACCGGAGGGGGGTATCTCCACGCGGGGAATATTAGAAAGAAGAATTGGGGGCTCCCTCTGGCCCGGTCGGTATTCTTGGCCTATGGGAGCACTAGCCCTGGTTGCTGTTGACCCCTGCAAAAAGTCAATAACCTTTTGGGGGTTGAGTGGAAACCCAACTTGTTTTCCCAAAAGTTGAAGTCTAAAGATCCAACTCAATAGCAATCAAGAAAAGCGGGCGTCATGCGAAGGTCCCTTCTGGGTGCGTCATTCTTGGGGGCCTGGGGGGGGGGGAGGGGGGGGGGAAGCCCAAATTAGCCCGAAATAAAGGGCTTTATGAGGGCTTATTCGGGCTCCGTCCCCCTCCCGCCCCCCCAGCTCCCATGAGTCATGCTGGGTTCCCTTCCATGTGTTGAGGAGTCTGAAAAGATCGTGTTGTTTGTCGCCTTTGAGCGAATGAAATATGCCCTTCTGGGTGCTTGAAGAATCTAAAACACACATCGGTTCCCAGGTGTGTCATTTTTTTAGCTACCCCTTTTGAGGGTTTAAAGGGAAACCACAGGGAAAGGCGCAATTTGTTGGGGTCCCCTAGAAATTGGACGAGCCACCCTCCGGCTCTTTGAGCTTTGCCTCTTTGACTTCGTCATTCAATGAGCCTGAGGAGGGTGCAATGACGTCTCGCAGTCCCGTTTGGCTGTGCATTTGGTTGACTGACGTATTCTCATCTTCACAACCCTTGGTATGGGCTTGCAAAAACCTTGATTTTGAGAGCCCCCGAACCCACAACCAACAACTAAAAAAACACCAAACTCGCCAAGAGCAGTGAAGTCATGCTGCATTTGTGGCAGACCCGATGCTTCGTCTCACTGTGAGTGGGTCCATCGTCTGCACTCGTTTGTTTGAAGCCCAAGAACTCCCCGTCCGTTGGGCCTGTCGGGCGAATGTCAGCACGGAATTATGACAAGGTTATTCCCACCGCCAAGAGGAGGGAGGTGGGGACCGCCCCGGAGACAAAAAAAAGAGAGCTCAAAAACAGCCTGGACCAAATAAGCTATGCCACTTTTCAGGCGGGATCCATGCCTCATATATTGCTTGAACATGCAAAAACAAGACGGAAATTTAGGGACCCCTGTCAGAAGCGTGGATGGGGAGAAGGGACAGCATTTGGTTGGTTGAGTTTAAATGGACGCCCTGCAACCCCCAAACTCTCCCCGGATGCCATGGACACTTTGTCTATTTTGCAGCCAAGATCCCACAAAAAAGGATTCTAAGGCAGGATGCTGCCCATCATCCCCCCCGAAACAAATCATTAAACAACACATGGTTTCTCAGGTCTCAGGTGGTGCGGACTTTGCCCATCATACCCACCCCGCGCCCCAAGAAACCAACAAAAACAATCTGGTTTCTGAGGTGGTGCAGGAATTTGTCTATCATACCCCACCCCCCCCCCCCGCAAAAAAAGAAAGAAAGAAACAAACAACAACTGCAAACACCGCAAAACACCAACGAGGCGCCTGCCGGCAGACCTGCGAGACACGCCACCGCGGGATTTGGCCCATCCGCAAGGGCATCGAAGCCGTGGCCCTGCCGGAAGTCCAGGCCTTCGCATCGATCCGAAACCATGTCGGGCACCATGTCGGTCGTGGGGTGGGGTGGGTGGGGTTGAGTGGACCGTCGGGTCCAGTGAGTCGACTTGCAAAGCGGCGTCTGAGGATTTTTGTTTAGGTGAGTTACCACCCCCAGCCTTTTCATACGGAACCTGATGTTTGGGAATTGGCGCCTTGTAAAAGGACAATGGTCCAAACCAAAATGCCCCATGTTAGTTGGTGAGTAAACGTTGCCTTACTTGCCCAAAGGAGCTGGACATGAGGAAATTATTTCTGCGATGCCACTCACTTGCCGTGCATGAACATGTCCCCGAGTCCGTGAACTGGTTCCTTCCCACTCGGGGCGTGAGAATCAGGTTGCGCCTCTGGGTTCCAGTCTCTGCGAGTGGTCACTTTTGGGCCAAAAGGCTCTAACGTGTGCCCACTGGGTGAGCTTTGGGACTTTTCTCCCCCAAAGAACGGGGCCATTCCCAGGAGGAGATTCCTCTGCGCAGATTGGCTTTTTGGGGATCCATGTGTGAAAACGGCATGGGTAACTTGTCTGTGGTGGAAGTCATCTCTTTTCCGGTGGCTTCCCTGATGGTCATCCCATGTAGAGGAAACCACCAGTTTAGCTGTGAAAACAATGCAATGTACAGGGTGGCTTGAAGGGACACATCCCTGACCCAACAAAAAAATGAGAACCCCTCAAAGGGTTCCTACTGTGGACAAAATTCTGCACCACCTAACGCACCCTGAAATGATGACTCCCCTGTGAATACCGACAATCAATGGTTTCCCATGGTTTCTTAGGTGGTGCGAACGGATTGTGTCCATCCAGACTAGCATCCATCCTGCAGGGTTGGGGTTCCAACGCGTGGGAAAAACAAATTAGCGGGGATAGGGCTGTGCGAAGGAAACCAACCTGAAACATATGTCCACATCCCTGCTTCCCCTGCATCCCGAAAAAGTAGCGGACCCCTCCCCCGAAAAAGTTGGTCAAAGGGTACTACCGGGGGACCTAGGTAGGATCTGATACATCCATCCAGGGTTTGGGTTTCCAACACGTGGGGAACACCCCGGGGCCGTCGAGATCTTCGGTCCACGGCGCGTGCCAGCTGCGCGACCGTCAGCACCTCCCTCGCCCGCTGGGCCGCCAGCGTCAAAGGCGGCTCCGCGCGGTCCGTGGCAACCACTCGCACGCCTGCGGCTTCTCCGAGCTGCGAGCTGTTCCAACCACACTGTGGATGGACGAATTCCTGCATCGCCTAAGAAAACATGGAAACCCACTGTTTGTTGGTATTTACAGGGAACCAGACAATTCCAGCGCTTCTTAGGTGGTGCAGGGTTTCGTCCATCCAAAGTAGGTGGCCTTTTGGAAAAATAGATGGCCCTGGTAAATCTCCCCCAAAGAAATCGGTAAAAGGGCAATAGTGGGGGACCTGGGGGAAATTTAGAAGCTGCTTGAAGGGCTTTGCCGACTTGAGCTGATGGCATCTTACTGACTCAATGACTCAAGATCTTCATCCGGGCCAGGCTGTAGCCCACTTCCAGTGCACCTGTTTTCCCCAACTGGCCAAAGAAACCCTGTGACCTGGTGCCCACCACGACCGAAAGCGCAGAAACGCCCCAAAGGCACCGAAGTGGGAAACCGTCACAAGGAAGTGGTTCTCTTGAGACTCAAAGCAGCTCGGGCCTTGCGAGTTACACAACTCAACCTGCTCAAAACGACCTGGAAATGAGAGGGAGATCCACCTTTTGGGGCCATGAGCCCCATTTGGCCCAAGGGGCCCTCTCAAGGCGCCCCTTGGCCTCTGGCCTTTTCAAGGCCTTTGGCTCAAAGAATCGACCTCCCAACTTGGCCATGGGTCAAAATCCAAATCGCACCCCCAGTGAACATCCCAATCCAACCACTAAAATAGGTTCTAAAATGGGTGGTGAATTCACCTACCCCAAAATGGGACCCAAAACGGTTTTGACAACCACAGCCACTTCAGGTCCAAACTCCAGGTCCAACTCTCCCCCGTGCCCAAGCTGGGGAAGTGAAGAGCGAAGCCGAAGGGACGCGAAGGCGAGTGGTGAGCCGAATGGACTCTGCGACGTTCGCCTCTGAATTTGTGGAGGCTAAAGCACTCCAAGTATCCATCCCATTTTCGACTTCCAGCGGAGAAAATCACAAGGTGCTGAGGCTCACTTCCCGAGATGGCCACACCAAAAGTCCGAACTTGTTGTTTGCCACTCAACATGGTCTTTTCAAAAAAATGCTGAAAGTCCAAGAGTTAACTCAGCTTCCATTTGCTTAAGTCTCCTGGAAAAATAAAACATACTTCCAGTAGTGATAGATTCCCTTTAAAACCAACAAGGGTAAATAAACCTGTTCTTAAGTAGATTCTTAAGCAAATGGAAGTCAGGAAGTGAGAAGGGCTCTGCCCCTTGACCTCTCCCGGCCAAGCCGCTTGGATCCTGTTGCACCATGGCAATGGCCAGGTGGCCCACGTAGCAGCCCACATCGGCCACGCAAGCGCCTCCAGGAGACACATCGCCACGAGATGAACGAGCACCGACCCCAGCCCAACAAAAGCCCAAAGGACAGTCACCATGTGCGCTGTTTTTCTTCTTCCCCAGGGTTCTGAATCCCAACACCGGGGCGCAAATCAACATCAACAGGGGTTGTGCTTGGTTGCGAGTCTTTCTTTTTCAGGGACCCCCAAAAACAAATAAATTGTGGTTTTCCATTTGGTTCCTTTTAAAACTAACCAAACCAGGGTTCCCTTGCAAAAAACCACACACACACACACTTGGTTGGTTTTCCTTTCGGTTTTGTCCGTCAAACCAACCAAACCAAGGGTTCCCCTACCAAATGACACACACACACCCACTTAGTTGTTGTTCTTCTCTTTTTTCTCGGCTTGTCTTTCAAACCGACCAAGCAAGGGTTCCCTTACCTAGGTCCTCCAGTAGAAAGGATAGAATAAGGGTTCCCTTTTTTCGGTAGTCTAGTTTAGTAGGAGTTGGCAAAAGGGCGTTACTGGGGACCTACAGTGGATGGACGAGATCCTGCACCACCCAAGACACCATTGGAAACCATTGTTTATTGGTATTTACGTTGGGAATCAGACCATCCCGGGGGTGCGAAATGGATTTCGCAACCATCCACAGTAGTTACACAAAACCACCTACTCAGCTCCGCTCTTCACCGAAGCCGCGCCTTTGCCTTTGCCTTTGCCCAGGGCCGCCTCGAGGACCGGCTGCAGCCGCGGCGCCAGCGGCGTTGCGCCACTTCCGGGGACCGCCATGGCGCGCGCATGGCAGGAGACCCAGCTGAAACTCGCTGCTGGCCTTTGCCCAGGTCCTGAAGATTTGAGAGGTAAGCATAAGTTGGTACCGCTTTTTCTTTCTCCTTTTATTCCTGTAGTCTAGGCTAGTAGGGAAACCCTCCCCCCAAAAAAGGGTAGAAGGGGCACTACTGGGGGACCTAGTTGCTGGTGGGGAACACCAAACCTCGCTGCCTCACCATCCAAATCCAGTTTTTGTTAGGCATACCTCACTTCCGACCGGTGGATTGGCCAAAGTCCGGGAACTCAGGAGACCGAGGTGCTACCAAATGCTTACAGACCTCCCATCACTAGCTCAGCTTTACGGCTCCCTTCCAACCACCAGCCAGGCTAGACTCGCCAAGCGGCGGGGAAAGGCCGGTTGTACTTGGAAGATGTATGCAGGAAGTTCGACCCATCTCATTTGCCTCCAGATGTTCAGAACACTTTTGGACTGGGACATCTCGCTTGCGTGAAGCCTCCAGCTGCATGTAACTGGACTCGCTCAACCATGTTGGAGCCACTGTTTCGAACCTTATGGCTTTGAAGAATGGACTTTTGGCAAACCACCAAAAAACAAGACATACAAGCTAAATAAAGGTTTGAGCCAAGCTTGAGTCAGCTTGCAAGCAGCCCCACCTGACTAAACAAAAGCTTCCCAACCCTTGGTATGGTAGCAACAAACTTTGTTTTTTGCAGCCCGCTGCTAAAAATGAACAGAACCAAACAGCTAAAAAACCAAAAACAACTTGCCAAGAACAGTGAAGAAAAGCTGTGGCTTTTGGCTTCCGGGCCCAAACAAATTACTTGACTTAGCTTTGATGATGAAATTCGGAACCCAAGGCGTCCTTCCCTGTGGCCTCCCTGTAGAACAGGATGCCTCTAAAGATGCACCCATAGTTGCCCTTGGACTTGTTCAGAAAGCAACCCGTGTTGAACCGGGTTTTAATGGGTCATCCTCCAAAACGAGGCGTGTGTTACAAGGCTGGCAAACCTTTTGTACCTGAAGAATGGGGGTAGGCTTGCTGGTGCTCAGTAGGGAATGACCCTCGGCATGAACCTAGAAATTCCCTTAAGGGAACCATAAAAAATGGTTTCGGGGGACATTCCCGCAATTCCTTGCTGAGAACCAGCTGTAGAATGTTCTCGCCAGGGGTTGAACTCCCCGAAAAAGAGGGGGCCAATGCCAAAACAAACAACCAAAAGTTGCCATTCCGAGCCAGTCCGAGCCAAGGGCCATTGAGATGCTGTGGCTTTGCCAAGGGCCATCACCTGGGCAACCGGGCAAGCGACATCAGGTCATTTTCATTTTTTGTTCTTCGGTAATGTAAGCAGCTGACAAGTTAGAAAGGGGGGGAAGGTTGGGGTATCATTTAAAAAAAATGAAGCCATGACCATGGGAACACAGTGCTAGTAATTCTTCGGCTCCTTATACTAGTGCACAGCTAGTAGCTGGGAGTAGCCGTTGTCATTGATACGCGCGGCAAGTTGACGGCAATTCGAATCACGTGTTTGCTACTCCGGCGGACGAACACGAAACCAAAGGGGTTCAATGCCCATAAATAGAGTTTCTGTTCCTTTTTTGGTGGGTGGGTATGATTATTTGATTTTTAATTGGGGACCAATTGGTGGACATCAACATTTGGTCAATGTCCACAAACCATTTCGGAGGGTGTTCCAACCGTTTAAAGTCATAGACATACAATATATTCATCTGCAGGGCAGTAGTTCGTACATTCCCTCGGCGATTCCGACATGGAACCAGGCACTTCCTCCAGGAGAAGGTCCTCTTCCCGACAAAGAAACACCCAGACCCGGGAAAAGAAGGGCGCCTGTTTTCTAGTTGGCTCCAAAGGGCAATCTTCTCAAAGAAAAGACAAAAGGGCATCACTGGTTCTCTGGGAACAATGTGGCAATCATGGGCTCAAAATGAATTAGTCAGTCGTAAGTACTAAGTTCCCACTAGTTGGGCCCAACCACCAACTTAGGGTTACCTCACAACTGGTAACCGGGCTTTCGCTTAAACTGGCGGAGTCAATTGCCTGGATTCGACATCCAAGGAGGGCGCTTAAGCCTACTGGAAAACATAAATACAGTGGATGGACAAAATCCGTTTCCATGGTTCGTTGGTATTAACAGGGGAGCATCATTCCAGGATTTCTTAGGTGATAGACTGACTCCCTTTCCAACCAACAGGGGAAAATAAAAGCAATATTCAATTCAGCAAATGGAAGTCAAAAGTACTGCTAAGTCCCTATACATGACCTTAAACCTGACATTTCCCCTCATGCCGCTTATCAAAAGCTCACTCCCTCGCCTCCTGGAGTTTAGACGTGGGTTTGGACCCTTTTGATGGTGAACAAACAGCTGGACTTTGTTTTCGCGCAGTTCCAGGGAAGTGCCTCTCACCCTTTTCACATGGAACCGTTCGATGCTCGGGGTGGTTTGGACCATTTTCCTTTTGAAGGGACCATGTCCCCGTCAGGTTCCATGTGAAAAAGGATGGGAAGGCATGGAGCTCCACTCTCATCTCTACCCCTTCGCGGACTCACCCGAGCCGCTCGCCTCGAACCGAAGCGCAGCCCGCTCCGCCCGGAGTCTGAGCTTGCGGCGCCGTAGAGCACCTGGTGCTGCAGCCCACCTCGACCGCTTTCGAGAAAAAGAAGTTCAAGCCTAAAAACCTGGAGAAATTTGCCAATATCGGCCTTCGAAGTATATCGGGGATCGCCTGTGGCCTTAAATTAAGGGGAAGAGGGGTATCGCCCTTTTTTTCTTGGGAAAAAAGGGAAACTAAAAGGAAACCCACCCAGTTTTTGGGGTTCCCCTCCTTTGAGACAAACCCATGCTACCGTTGCTGGACGAAATCCGCTCGCAGCCACTTTGAAACCATGGAAAACCACAGTTTGTTAGGTGGGATCATCATTCCAGGGTTTCTCAGGTGGTGCAGGAAATCGTCCATCCACAGTATGTGAAAATACACGCCCATGGGTTGCTTGGTGTTTCCCAGCCATCCCGATTGGTTTTTAGCTTTCTGGTTGATTCAGTGGTAGCTTCCACGAAACCACGAAAGGTGAGACTTTTAGCAGGAGACCCAGAAACAGCCAAGTTTAGATCCAGAAGTTGCATTCCTCCCCCCAAAAAAAACACAAACCGAGGAAATATTCAAGATCCAACCAAGCCAAGATAAGCAATCAAACGCCGTCAAAGTAGCTGGCACGGTTCTTCGCTTTGGGTAAGGGGATCACTAACCCCGAGGGGAGCCAATGGGTTTGAAGGGCTCGGGTGTTGGATGTGGCAAACCCATGGGTTTTAACCCATTGACTGAGTGGGTCGAATGCCCAAGTGTTTGGCCACTGGGTAAACAGCTATGCAAATTACAACGTGAATTTCTACATGTTACGCCAAAAGCAACCAAAAGTGGGCCTTAGGCAACCAAAAGCTCAGTGGGCCTTAGGCAACCAAAAGCTCTGCAGAAAAGCTACAAAAGCAAGTGTTTACTTCAGGCCTGCTGGTGACAAATGGCTATATAGCCGTATGTGTTTGTTTCAGTGGGGCGACCCGATTTTGACGGGTGTCAGCTAGTCAAGTGTCTTTCCCAGGAGGGTGAGTCTAGGCTTTTGAAAGCGCCTTTTTCCCCGGGCTTGTATATTGAGAGATTGATGACCGTCCAGGGCAGCCAGTGGCACTAGTCCACACTTAGCTCACACTATGCCAGTGAAAAATTGGCCATGAACTACGAATATTCATCACGTCCTTAACCCAAGCTTATCCAGCCTTTATGGATAAAGGAAGTACCCCCCCCCCCTCCATAGCCCCCCCCCAAAGGAGTCCATGACCTACCTATGTAACTATAGTTCTTATGTTGTCATATCTTGTCTCATATCTTGTCTTATCTATCATTTTTTCACACCGTCAAAGCAAAAAGCCAAAAAACTGCCGGTGACGCCGTCGCATTAAACCCAGACTCAGATCCAACCGCACGATCCCAGGGATTCTCTTAAAATCCATCTCCGCTTTTGGCGACAACAGCCGGCGATACGAGCGGAGCAGCGGTGGCTCCCAGACTCGCCAAATGCTTCCCATCCCCTGCAATTTTCCAGCTGCACCAAGCCAACCAGGCACTTCTTATCCCCCCTACCTCGGGTTCCCCAACTTCATTTCTCCTCTATTCTCCACAAAAGGAAACTAGGCTGGAATTTGGACCCCAGCAAAAAAGATATTTTTGTGCCTGGTTAATGGAAAACAAAGGCGCCCCAAGAAAGCAACAGATCAAAAGGGGATAACTGAAGACCTCCAGGGGTCAAGTTTACGTTCCCAGGGGCTACCAAAAAGTTGATCGATCCGGGTCCTCGCTGCGCTGGGGCGGCGGGCGCTTCCTGCGCCACCAGGTGAGGCACCTCCAGCGACAGCCTAGGGCGAAGGATCCAAAAGCTGAGGCCGGAGGCCTGTCGGGATGTTTGTTGGATCTCTCGCCTGGCCCCTTAGGGACCTGATGTGGAAATGAAAGGTGATCACCCCAAAGGGGGCCATGACTAAAAACTAGGTAGAATAAGTTGGCACCTTGTTTTCTCTGTAGTCTATGTTAGCAGGGGAACACTCCCCAAAAAAAGGGTAAATGGGCACTACCGGGGCACCTAGAAATGAACAAACATGGGGAAACCAAAAGGCCAGATCCGGTCGATTCGCTTTGGTCGCCTTGGTGAGCTTGGGAAGAGGTTGGGTTGGGAGAAACCGTGACGCGGAGAGTGGTTTTTGGAGGTAAACTGTTGCTTTAAGCCTAGTGTTCAACCCCCAGAGAAACGAGCCATGCAGTTAACTCAGCAGTTCAGATGCCGAGTTTCATCATCCAAATTCGGTCCTTGCCATTTTCAACAGGGGTCACTGGATGTCCCCTTCCAAATTCCCAAGTTAGTGGTTTCCCTTGGAACGATCGCCACTGGAGGTTCCACAAATGGCTCAGGGCTTGGCACCGGTCTCCCCCG